AGACAGACATAGAGACAGAAAGCGAGAAATCACCCCCCAGGGGGGATGGTCACGCCGCAGGCCCTTCTCCTCTGTTCTTCTCTCAGGATCTTGGGCACGCACGCACACGCGCCCGGCCTGAGTTTTAAGCCACCGGGTCCAGGACGCAAACTGCGGTCGACTACATGGGAGTCCAGCAACATAGCCATTACACTAACTGCTGGTTCCCTTATTTATTTATTTTTGTGGAAGTGACACTATGACACACTGATACTCCAGAATGATTTTCAACTGCCCATGCCCTCTTCCTGGGTCTTCCCAGTGAGAGTGGCTAGGCCAAGGGCGGGATGGGCCACGGGCTGTGACCAGAGGTCAAGCTGGCAGTGTTGCTGTGTGACCTACCCCAGAGCTCCCGATATGTCCACGTCTATGTCACAGATGTGACTGCTGCAGCCAGAGGCAGTGACTGTGGGCCTCCCTGTGGGCTCGCGGCCCAGCAGGAGGTTGACTGAAATGCTGATGCCCTTGACATGCAGGTCGAAGGAGCCCTGTAGCTTCCTGAGGAGATAAGAGAAGAGGGTTAGTTCTTGACCCAGGGCCTGTCACATCTGCAGGAAAACAGAAAGCTCAATTCTTACCCTAAAATAAGTAGAGCTGAGCAAAGGATTAAGAAAAATAAATAAGGCCATAAAAGATCTATGAATAGGAAAAGCCTGGGTCCTCTATTTACAGTCAGGGATGAGGAAGGGCATTTCCAGGCAAGATCCAACTCTCATAAGCCATGAAGGAAGGCGCTGAGAAACTGGCCAGCATAGGAAGGATAGGGGCACAGAGGTAAAGCTCCACCTAGGGGCTGACCCGTGCGGGAAGGGTCCCAGTTCACGTCTGTGGACCTCCATGCGTGTGCCACGTGCGAGTGTGCCCAGGACCCAGGGCTGGCTGACGCTGGGGGCAGGTGGAGGCATCGGGACCCCATCGGAGGAGCTGTCTGTCTCTGTCTCTCATTCATAGGAGAAATAAACTTTAAAAAAAGTTTTAAAAAGAAAACGAAAACTTCAGTGAACAATAAGAGCCACACGTAAACAAAAAATATTGCATCATGAGACAGCCGAAGAGCTAATTTCCTTCCTACGTGAGCTAATACTCGAGTATAAACTAATTTCCTTAATATGCAAAGAACAAAAGAGAAGAACATTCTCAGATAAACAAAACCTGAAAGAATTTACCAGCACCAGACCAGATCTCCAAGAAGTTCTCAAGGGAGTGCTATGTCAGGAAAATTAAATGCAGACACACAGAAATAAGAATTCAAAAACTAAGAAAATGGCCAACTTAATTGTAGGGACAAGTCTGGAGTTGAATATTATATCCCAGAATTCAATTGGGAAGATCAAACCACAACAGACAATAGATTAAGTACATGGGACTGAACTGGTGAAATAGCATTCTATGACTTGACTAAAATAGTGCTGCTTTTCTTCTAAGCTTTGTTGTCTGGGTTTAAGGATTTTTGGCCTGTCTTGAGCTGTCAATAGGCTCATGTACCTACTATTTGAACAGAATACTAACCTGTTTCTAGGCTTTAAGTTTCAAGGACATGTCCTTACCAGTTCAAAACTGCTTTTCTTGAAATTACCAGTTGAACGTGCTATCAAAAGTAGTTAGGCTACTTATGAAATTGAATGATCAACAAAACGTAGGGG